GAATTCATAATTTTATAAAAGTATTAACCTTCATTAAAAGAAGAGATATGAAGGATTAGAGTTCAAAAGACAAATCCAATATATATATATATTAATATGTAGTGCCTAACTGTCTATAAGAGTATTATATAAAAAATACAACTCTATTCAATATCGAGGAGGACATTATACAAAAAAATATAGCCTTATTTATTATTAAAGTTTAAAAGGTAAATCCAAAATATGTTTAACCAAATACAAGAAAAAATTGGATCGGAATTGATTTTTATTAATTAGGAACAAATAATTAATTAAAAACAAATTAGCAACTAAGGACAAATTAGCAACTAAGAATGGACTTTGATGTTTTTTATGTTCTTATCTTTGTACTTCTAATGGTTATGAGGGTATCTTAATCATTGGATTTTGATTTTCAGTAGGCATTCTTACTTTTTATTTTTTTTAAATGTTTCTTTTTTTTACAATATCATATAACATAACTCATTATATTTCACATAATCTAATTTTTTACGTGAGTGCCATCAAAGAGAAGGATTAGAGTGCTTGAGGTAAAAAAGGGAAGAGCGAGAGTGGAGAAGAGGAAAAGTTGAGAGAAAGTGAAATTGATGAGAAATTAGGATTTGAGTATTTTATTTATTTCTACTTTTAGGATTAAGAAATTAGAAATTTAAAATTAATTTTTAAGTAATCTAATAAAAAATGAATTAAAAAAAATTCGTGTCATATCGGGTGACTCGACCCACCCGTGACCCAACCCATTCTGATTCGGATAATTTCAATTCGGATCATTTCAGATTTTGGATTCACATATAGAACTTATGACCCTATTCATAACGAATAAATTAGGTTGGATTTTTGGATTGGGTCCAATTTTACCAAGTATAGACATAAACAAACGTAACTTTTATGAGAATGGATACACAATGTACATCGATGAGCACTAACCAACAACCATGACCACTTGATTTGCATAAAAAAGGCCAGCTTAATCATCTAATCTCAACCCACAACTACTCAAAATACATTTATCTGCTAAATATGAGCTCGTCCTTTCTGATTAATCTGCATGACTGGGCAATAAGAGAGTTAACAAGTTCCTTTATTTATTTATTTATTCTAAGGGATAAACCACCACCACTTAACATGCATGCCAATCATTTGGTTTAATTAATCATATTGTACAAAGATTAGTTTTAAATATATAAATTTAGTTAGTATACTTTTGAATAACTTTAATTCTTAATCCTAATTAATATGTATACTTTTTTGCTTGGAAGTTGCCAAATTAATCTAATGGGTAATGATCTGGAATATACCCTCTACTTTTTCCTAGGTTTTTATGTCCCAGACAAATGAAAGTTGGCCATTCTGTGAGGCTCACCATTTTCTATTTATATCCTAAGTAAATAGAGTATGATCATGACTGTGGGCATGTCGTGAGCCCCTATTAATATCCTTAGTTACATGAGATGAGGGACTGGACCCCTTATTTCTGTGATTTTTTAGGTAGGTGTTAGTGGGTTTCACGTTCATGAGACATGCGATAAAAGGGGTTGGGTTTATTTGTGATAGCTTATGCCTTCGGCTTATAGGTAGCCTTTAATTGGGAGCTTTTTTTTTTTCTTAGTTATATCCAAAGGATAGCCTCTCTTTTTTTCCTTTTTTTTTTTTAACATGGGAAATTATGGAAGAATGGTGAATTTTCAAGTGGGAACTTATGGAGGAACAGGGACTTAATTCAAACACTTAAAATTTAGAGGCAAACTATTAAGTTCGAAAATTTAGTTTCAAAAAAATAACTACTTGATAATATAAAGATTTAAAATTTTATTTTAATCTTAAATTAAGAGTTTTAAATTAATAAATACCAACTCAATTAAGGTTCTCTTGATATTAAAGGCTTATTTTTTAGATAACAAAGGACGTCTCTCTTCCAAATTTTCAGGGTTATTTTGTAGAATAAGTTAGTATCAATTCACACAAGTTTTACTTATAAAGTTTATACAAAGTTTTAATTATTTATCTTTTCACTATAAATAATAGAGAAGTACTTTTTATCTTATTTTTGTAAAAGTTAATTTTCTTTTTATCTAAAGGACAATGCTTTAGTAACAATGTTATATAAAATTATAAATTTACAATGATGACATATGTAACATGTTATTAAATCAATGAATATATAATATCATAAGTACATTTTTAAGTGAAAAGAATCAATTACATATTCACATATTATGTTATAAGTTTATAATATCATGTAATATTGTAATGACATTATTTTTATTATTTAAAAAGTCATGGTAACTTTCAATTATTTTATAATAAAATATAAATTATTACTATGATTTTATATAAAATTTTTGTATAAAACCTATTTAAATCTAAGTCATTCTTTTTTTTATATATATTAATCTCTTGATATTCAAAAATCACATTGAAACACAATTAATCCGAGATTGAGTCACATCAAGTCTCTTATGTGAGGAAATTCTCCTATCACATGCTTTTTCCATTCACAAAATGACGACTAATCTAAAACATTCTTATCTCTTATAAAATTGGTCTAAATTTATGTCTTCAAAATGCTGCATTAGACGAAATTTAATTTCTTTTAAAGATACTAAGCTTATATGAAAGAGTCAACTTTAAAATTTTCAAAGAGAAATCAATCGTAAAATACATGCAACATCAACGTAAGATATCATGCCTACTCAAAAACAACACCAGTAGAGTTGATGACGTTACATAATTCTTGGGCTAGAGTGAAATATGTGTACCCAGTACCCCCATGGGTCGAGCTTTACGGCCCATGGCTGACGATAGTGTCGAAGTTCTACAATAGTCCAATTGGCATTCGGCAACGGTTAAATGGGCTGGTAGAAAGAGGCCCGGTATAGTCTTGTGAGTTAAGTTTTCTAATATAGGGTATGCTCCTAAGATGGTATGAGAAAAAGATTAATTTTACGGTGTACAAAAATAATTCATATTATTCTCTATATTAACACAATATAATAATAAAATAATATTTTATTTATCTTAAAATAATTATATTTTTTATTTAAAATTTGTTTTAAACTAATTATTTTTAAATTTTCAAAAATAAAATTTATCTTAATTT